AAAGCGAGGACTACCTGTATTTATTTTTTTTTAATTGTATTTTTCTGCACATTGGCTTCGCTTGGAAAAGGATTGTGCGATGGTTGTACGTAGTGCGATGGTTGTGCGATGATTGTGCGCAGGTGAAAACTGCATTTGTGAGGCTATCAGCCCGCTCCCCCCCTCATTTCAAATTCCAAATACTGGCAGTCCTCGTCTTACGACCATAACTGGTTGCTAAGGAAGGTGGTTGTTAAGTGAGCCATGCCTGATTCTACCACCTTTTTGCCCCGGCTGTGAAACGAAGTGCTGCAGTTGTTAAGCAGATCATGCAGTCGTTAAGCGAACCTGGCTTCCACCATTGATTTTTGCTTGGCGGGAAGGACACAAAACGAGGATCGCGTGACTCCAGGATCCTGCAACCGTCGTGAATTCATGACAAGATCCCGAATTCCAATCACGTGGTCGCCGGGATGCTGTGACGGTTGTAAGTGCGAGGACGGCTCGTGAGCGCCCCTTTTTTCAGCGCTGTGAGAACTTCAAATGGTCGCTAAAGGGAACGGTTGTAAGTCCAGGACAACGTGGATGTGAGGGCAGGTCGAGTGAGATTCGTCAAGAATAAGAAACTGATTGCGTTTTATCGCAATCCACAGAGGCTTAGTTTGGACTAAAATCCAGAACTGACTCTGGACTCCTTTAAACAGATCAACAGAGTCGGAAGGGACCTTGTAGGTCATCTAGTCTAGCCCCCCTCCACCCAAGCAGGAGACCCTCCACCATTTCCGACAGATGGCAATCCAGTCTCTCCTTGAAAGCTTCCACAGATAAACTCCCACAACTTCTGAAGGCAACTTCTGTGCCATTGAATATAGAATAACAGAGTCGGAAGGGACCTTGTAGGTCATCTAGTCTGACCCCTTACCCAGCAGACCCTCCACCATTTTTGACAGAAGGCAGTCCAGTCTCTTCTTGAAAGCCTCCAGGGATGGAGCATCCACTCAATTGTTAAATGAGTCACACCGTCGTTAAGTGAATCTGGCTTCCCCACTGAGTTCGCTTGCCGGAAGGTCGCAAAAGCGGATCGCGTGACACTTGCGACCGTCATAAATACATGCCAGTTGCCAGGCTTCTGAATTTGGATCACGAGACCACGGAGTTGCTGCAGCGGTCGTAGGTGTGAAAAGTTGTCCTAAATCGCTTTTTTCAGCGCCGTTGTAACTTCGGTCACTAAGCGAAACGTTGTAAATTGAGGACTCCCTGTGTTTATTTATCGTGTTTAGAAACCGCCCTTCTCCTTCTTAGAGAGCTCTCAGCGGTGATGGCACCCGGTTGGGATGGGACCAGGCGCAAAAGAGCTTTTGAAAAGTATCCGTGTGGTAAGTCCACCTCCGTTGTGGCCCGTCAGCGGCCTGTGCAGCTAGTAGCTGATTCCGACAGCGAGGAGGCTGGTGTGGTGCTGCGCCAGCAGCCTGTGCAGCCGGCACTCGAGTCGGACAGTGAGGAGGCTGGAGAAGATGTGGTGCCAGAGGCGGGGATTCAGCCAGGGCCTTCAGAACCTCTAGAAGCTTCCATGGGTGAAGAGGAAGAAGAGGAGGAGCCTCTTCTCGATGCACGGGCGCGCAGAGCTGCTAAAAGGCAGGAGTGGCTCTTCAGGAGGAGGTCTCCTCGAGAGTAAGGCTTGGGGCTAATTGGCCACTCCCTTAGTCTATTTAAGGAGGAACGCCGACTGAAGCAATTTGCAGGAAACAACTTCGTTCACATACCTTCATGTCTTGTCTTGCTTATCTTATCAGCTTCCTGCAAATTGCTTCTGGGCATTCTGTCAACCTTAGTAAGTTTTCAGTTATTATTCTTTGAATTCTTGGCAGCTGTTAATGCAATTAATTAAGAGCCGTTGTTGTAAAAGACTGGTTTATTCAGTAAATTAAGGTTTGAACGGACTTTGTGTGTGCTGCGTTCTTTGGGAGAACAGCCTCGTGGGTTCCCTGATTTCTCCAAGCAGCGTCATGCCAGCTCTCCGCCCCTCCCCCACTCCCGTTTTGAGGGCCACTCGGTTTCATTTCTCCTCTTTCTTTGCCTCTTTCCTCATTTCGAGAAGAAAGTTCACACCATGACTCACATCTACAGGAAAAACGGTCACCCAGCACCCGAGCCGTCTGTGTGGATTTTCAGTTCCTGGAAGTTGAACTCGTCGATGTTTCATGGAAGATTTCTTCGGGTCTCCCGTCATAATTTGGAGAGGAAACCCGAACAGCTGTGAAGACGGGGAAGGAGTTCGGGAGAAGACACGCCCCAAAATATATATATATTTATTTTGGTCCTCCAGAAATATATATATGCAGTTTTCTTGGAGGGGTGAAGGATCTCGAGGTCGGATAAGGAATGGCAGAATCCGGGGGCGGCGTCAAAAGAGAAATCAGCCTAGCATCCCTACGTCGCCACAAGCGAACGAAGTCCGACCTCCCTTGAATTCCATTGAGCCTTATCTGACTCTAAGCCGTGGACGACCATTCGTTGAGAAGATTCCCGCACGTGGGAATAAACTACTTCAGCAATAAAGTAGTTTAATCGAACTTCCCGGGTGTGGACCCAGTTTTTCGCCCTGACCTTCCCTTTGTTTGTTTTTTTAATATTTTTTTTTTATTTTTTAAAACAAACAAACATTTAATACATCAACCTTCCCTTCCCTGTGACGCCTCGGTGTTATCTTCTAGGCTTCTTCTCCATCTTCCATAAATTTCTTCTATCTTCATCTTCATCCAAACCATTCTAACATTTCATTTCTAAATCAATATTATAGTCATCATTTGTACACAATTATAGTATCAGTCATTTATATCTCTTTTCCAACCAACTATAAAAATAATTCCGTGTTTTAAAATATTCCGATTCCTCCTTGTCTTTAATCATCAAAGTTAATCTATTCATTCCTGCACAGTCTAAAAAAATTTTTTATTACTTCTTCTTCCAAAGGTATTTTCTCTGATTTCCAGTTTTGAGCATACACAATTCTTGCAGCTGTTATTACAATGTGTAATCAAATATACATTTTCCTTACTAATTTTTTCAGATCGTATAAATCTTTTGAGGATCATGCGATGGCCCACCCCGAACCCCCAAAACTTTTATCGTGTTGTCAGCTGCCAGGAGTGGCTTGATAACTGAGGTGGGTGACATATATAAATTGGGAAAATAAATAATAAGTGTACCGTCGAATCGGAAGGCGCCCTGCAAGAAGCTGCTTGTCGGAAGGGCAGCGTGCCGTGTTTCACCCACAAATAAACAAGAGGCTTCATTGCACCCAGGGCTGTTATTAAAGTGAGCCCAGAGTTGTCAAACTGGCTTACTCTCCTGCACACCCAAGGTGATGAAGCCGGCCTTTGAAGGAAGTGTGTCCTTTTGCACACTTGCAAACCAAATCCCTGTTTTTTCCTTACTGGCTCGCTTGCCAGCTAAGTTTGTTTGCTTGTTTCCTCCCCCTGTTACTAACTCAATGTGCAACACACACTCCTCTGCCTATTTTCTCCCGCAACAACAATCCTGTGAGGTAGATTGGGCTATGAGAGAGAGAGGAGGGAGGAGGAGGGGAGGGAGGCCCAAAGTCACCCAGCCGAGTTTCATGCTTATGGTGGGACTAGAACTCATCGTCTCCTGGTGATGGGCCCAAAGTCACCCAATGGCTTTCATGCTTATTGGGACTAGAAGTCCCTGTCTCCTGGTGATTGGCTCAGAGTCACCCTGCAACTTTCATGTCCAAAGCGGAACTAGAACTCATCTCTTTGGTGCTTGGCCCAAAGTCACCCAGATATCTTTCATGCTTAACATGGAACTAGAACTCGTCGTCTCCTGGTGATTGGCCAAAGTCACCCAGATATCTTTCATGCTTAACATGGAACTAGAACTCACCGTCTCCTGTGCTTGGCCCAAAGTCACCCAAATGGCTTTAATGCTTAACATGGAACTAGAACTCACCATCTCCTGGTGATTGGCCAAAGTCTCAAGGCGGTGTACAGTCAAGAAAAATACAGACACACAAACATCATAAAATTGCTAATTAAAGTTTTCGAACCTTATTCTTAACGTGCCTAGAATCGATTCCTCATTCTGACATGAGATCCGGTCAGTTTCAAATAGAACAGATTGATTTACTGTTTTTTTGGTACTCTCTGCCACCACATACGTTTTCTGCTAGAGAGAAAAAAAACAACAACAAAAAAATAAGATTTTTAGATTCCTTGGAATATCTGCTTCGGGGTTTCCCATTCTGAGTCCGGATCGTTTCCCCGGGGAACTTCGCTTGTCGGAGTGTGTGTGTGTGTGTACCTCGAGACACACACAGACTCCATCGCTTGCGAGAGCGACAATTCATAACTCTAAGGCAGAGGTCTTCAAACTTGGCAGCTTTAAGACTTGTGGACTTCAACTCCCAGAATTCTCCAGCCAGCACAGCTGGCTGGAGAATTCTGGGAGTTGAAGTCCACAAGTCTTAAAGCTGCCAAGTTTGAAGACCTCTGCTCTTAAGGAGTGGAAAGCAAGTGAATGATGGAAAAATCCCAAATTCTGTATAATTAACTGCAGTATCAATAGAAGCTGTAACTGGATTTCAAGGTTGAACATTCTTGGCTGATCCCTGACGTGTTTGCATCTCTCCAGACGGGCTCCTCTCTTAGTTGCTGAACCGGAATTTTGGGCTCCGGCAAAATTTTCCCCTTTCTGCTGGCAGGGAGATTTTTTTTTTTTTTCCTGTCGTAACCCAGTTAAGAACAAGGTTTGAATCATGCCGTGTTTTCTTTGAGAAAACCAGATGTTGGTTTGGCCCAATGTTCTTGAATCTTGGGGACTTGAAGATGGGTGGACTCCAACTCCCATAACTCCTTAGCCAGCATGCTGTAAGAGATATGGACTTCAACTCCCAGAATTCTCATCTCAAAGCATGCTGGCTGGGGAATTCTGGGAGTTGAAGTCTAGTCATTTTAAATCATGCTGGCTGGGGAATTCTGGGAGTTGAAGTCCACCCATCTCAAAGCCTGCTGGCTGGGGAATTCTGGGAGTTGAAGTCCACTCATCTTAAATCATGCTGCCTGGGGAATTCTGGGAGTTGAAGTCCACCCATCTCAAAGCCTACTGGCTGGGGAATTCTGGGAGTTGAAGTCTAGTCATTTTAAATCATGCTGGCTGGGGAATTCTGAGAGTTGAAGTCTACTCAACTTAAATCATGCTTGTTAGGGAATGGCTATTGCCTAACTGGTTGGGTTGGCAATATATATAAACCATCAATGCATGTTTGCAGTCAAAATCTAATGTATAGCTTTAAGACTGTAATGCTGTATTGCATCATACTGTATTCTGATTGGCTAGCTCTGTAGCCAACGTACTTAAGAGGAAGCTTGAATCATGGCTTGTTTTTCTTATTACATTATTATTGCTACCTCTGCTTCTCTCTGCCTGTTCTCTCTGCATGATCACTGCTACTTGTTGTTTTCTACTGTTTTACTGATTGTTTTACTGCTGTATTTGTTCCTGTTTGCAACTCCAAAAAGAACTGTTTTATTGCATATGACTACAACAACTGGTAAGAAGACTTTGTTCTTGGAATATCCCTGGATTGACAATTTAACTATCTTTATCTGTGTACGACCTGGATTGTTTATTGGACTTTGCTTTCCTTTTTCCTCAAAGTAAAAGAATATCACAACTCAGTGTGTCTGTGTATTGACAGTGCTTAGTCACAATCACTCTCTGCCGTTTTTCTCATGTGCACACCCTTGCTACTCAAGGGTTACTCTGCACATATTCCTTAACAATGCTGGCTGGGGAATTCTGGGAGTTGAAGTCCAGCCATTTAAAACATGCTAACTTTAAAGAGGTACAGACTGGATTTTGGCATTCTTGTCGTGAGTCCTTCCCGAGAACCTGAAATAGGCAGATGTGAATGTGAATGATGGTTATAACATATCATCGCAGGATATAAGCTGTTCAGAATCAAAGCTGCCTTCTGCAATTGACTTGATGATTTTGTCAATGCCAATCATTATAGTCAGTTGTAGAGCCAGCCAGGTCTTCAAAGTGGATTTGGCATTTTTATCCACCACTTGAGTTCTTCCCAAAGGACCTGGGATAGACAGATGTTGTTATTTGATGACGTTAAAGGTTGTCACCGCAGGATGTAAGCGGTTCAAATTCAAGCTGCCTTTTTGCAATTGACTGATGGTGAATTTGTCAATGCCGATGGCATTCAATTGTTTCTCCAGGTGTTTTGAGAGGGTACCCAAATTACCTGTTACTATTGGTGCTACCTCTGCTTTCTTTTGCCATAGTTGTTCTATTTCTATTTGTAGGTCTTTGTATTTTGTGATCTCCTCCAGTTCTTTCTCTTCTGCTCTTCTGTCTCTAGGTACTGCCACATCCAATATCCAAACTTTTTTGTCTTTTTTATCGATAATTGTTACGTCTGGGGTGTTACATGGCAGGTGCTGTCTGTTTGAAGTCTAAAGTCAGAGAACGCTTGAGCTCTTTCATTTTCTATGATTTTTTTTTTAATTTTATGGTCCCATTTGTGGACAAACGACATTTCTTCAAGACTTTTCAATGAGACGTTGTCGCTACTTTGTCGTGCCGTCGTTTGCAGTCAGTCTGTGCGATCTTTAGTATATTGCGGCTCGTTCCACAGTCATCCAGATGTTCAGACTCGATTTGCCATTTTTATCCATCTTCTATCGAGTCCTTTCCCGTGGATCTGGGATAGCCAGATGTGGATGTGCGACGTTGTTACAGATATCGTCGCAGGATGGAAGCTCTTCCAAGTACTGGTTTCCTCGACTTAACGACCACAACGGAGCCCAAAATTTATGTTGCTAAGTGAGATATTTGCTAAGTGAGTTTTGCCCCATTTTACAACTCTTCCTGAGACGGTTGTTAAGTGAATCGTTGTCATTCTTAAGTTAGTCAAACTGTTGTTAAGGGAATCGGGTTTCCCCATGGACTTCGCTCCTCAAAAAGTTGCAAAAGGGGATTACGTGACCCAGAGACACTGTGATCGTCATAAATGTGAGTCACTGGCCGAGACTCACATTTTGATCACGTGACCATGGGGATCACGAGAATTTTGATCACATGACCATGGGGATGGTGCAACGGTCGTAAGTGTGAAAAATGGTCATAAGTCACTTTTTTCCAGTGATGTTGCAACTTTGAATGGTCCTAAACGAAATGTTGTAAATCAAGGGCTGCCTGTATTATAAAGTATTATTGTTATATTATTATATTGTTATATTATTATTATTATTATTATTAAAAAAAGAAGGATGGGGGTGAGATGATGCCGTCTTCTAATATTTGAGGGGCTGCCACCAAGAAGAGGGGTTCAAACTATTCTCCAAAACACAAGAGCAAAGGATGGAAACTAATCAAGGAGAAGCAACCAGGGAACTAAGGAAGAATTAACCAGTGGAACTGCTTGCCACCAGAAATTGTGGATGCTCCATCACTGGAGGTTTTCAAGAAGAGACTGGACAACCATTTATTTGAAATGAAATAGGCCGTGATGGCGAACCAATGGCACGCGTGCCACAAGTGGCACACGGAGCCATATTGGTGGGCACGCGAGTGTTGCCCTACCTCAGCTCCAGCACGCATGCGCGCGCTGGCCAGCTACTTTTTGGGCCTTTTGTGCCCAATGGAAGTCGGCAAACGGGCTGTTTCCGGCCTCCGGAGGGCCTCCGGGGTGGTGGGGAAGGCTGTTTTTGCCCTCCCCAGGCTCCTAGAACGCCTCTGGAGCCTGGGGAGGGCAAAAAACGGGCCCACCGGGCCATCACATGCCAAAAGCGGGGGGAACATGGGGGGATTGCGCACGCATGCATGGGGGAGCAGGGCGCAAAGAATTATGGGTGTGGCCACGCACGTGCGCAACCACCCCGCACTCCCCTGGGTTTTTAGCACGCGATGGCCAAAAGATTAGCCATCACTGCTCAAACAGGAGACCAGGGGGTTGGACTAGAAGACCTCCAAGGTCCCTCCCAGCTCTATTCTTCTACGTTCAATCCAATGCATCCGACGTTGGTGAGCTGCAGAAGTCAAGCACCTGTCGCTTTGGGAGCATGGGTGAAATAGGGGGCCGAGCAGCCGAGCGCCCAAATAAACCCTTGGCAGAGGCTCTCTTTGGAAGAAGAATGCCACCGGGCTCAGCGCTCCTTGGCACCTGGCTGTGGTTGCAAGGGAGCAGTTGAAAGGCTGACCTGCCCTGCTGCCTCGTGGGTGGCGTGGTCGCACCCGTGGAACCAGAATCGGAGGCGTTGCAACTATCCAGGGCGATCCGTCATCGCCACATTAAAGGAAACGGGCGTCATTTATTTATCTCTCCGTCCAACGTCAATGGCCGCCCATCTCAACAGAAAGTGACTCTGGATCACATCCAGCAGCGAAGGAAAACCATAAATATATATATATATTAAAAGCAGTCGTGGTTAGGAAGTATGAAAACAACCCTAACCATGGTTAGATAAAAAAATATGGAAATGAAATATGGTAGAGATCTTTATAACACAAGAATTGTAGAACTATATAAAATATGACATAAAGATGTATTATTATTATTATTGGATCGATTCAGGATGATGGAATGAATGTTGCAATATAAATTAACTCAGATCTTAGAAGATTTTGTACCAAATGAGGGAAGAATAGCTTATAGTCAAATAAATGATTAATGAGGACAATAATACATAGATATACATTAGATCGATAGTACGAGAATTTAGGTAAACTGTAAGCTATGAATATGGTGAAGACGCACAAAAGGCTTGTAACCACTTGTGAGTAATTGAAAATGGTTTTATGATTTTATGTATGCTTGTTTAAAAATAAAAATAACATTTTTCAAAAAAACCCCACAATCCTTACGAAGAGGAATTTAAAACTGGACGCGAGGGAATACGAACGGCAACCTGGGTAGTCCTCGGTTTATAGCCACCAGGGAGCCCAAGGTCCCCGTCGCTAAGCGAGACACCGGCGTGGTGAATTTTGCCCCGTTTTACGGCCTTCCTGGCCACCGTCCGTCACTGCTGCCCGTTGGAAACCATAAGGCGATTCTAGGGGAATAAGGAGTCCTCCGTTGCTACATTTCCTATCCAAGAATGCAAGATAACGAGTTTGCAGAAGTGGAAAACGAGGTGGAGAGCTGGATGAAACGTGGGATATAGATATATATATATATATATTCTTACTTCTTCGTAGGGTTTATGTGTGTTTATTTTCTAGCCAGGTTTTCCCTACGTAACCAAGGTTGATTCTATCCCTCTGTTAATGCAGCCTAGGATGGCGTTGGCTTTTTTGGCAGCTGCCGCACACGGCTGGCTCATATTTCTTGTTGGTGGCCTCCTACCTTCCAAGCTTCCACGGGGTTGAGGTTCTCCTGGGTCCCGATGGATGGAGGCTTCCCCAAACCATCCATTATCAAAGGGGAGGGGGGGGAAGCTGGACTACAGCCTCTGAGCCCTTCGGGACCGCCCCCGGCAGGTTTTCCTCGGAAAACGCTATTGGCCAGTTCCAGATTTGGGCTCCGTTTCCTGATTACTTCTCGGCTTCTCCTTCCAGGCCAGGCCCTTCGAGAGAGGCGGGGAGGGGGTCTGAACCATGAACCCCCACCCGCGGCGCATCCGCCTGAAGCCCTGGCTGGTGGCCCAGGTGAACAGCGGCCTGTACCCGGGTCTGCGCTGGGTAGATCCGGAACAGAAGCAGTTTTGCATCCCCTGGCGCCATGCCACCCGTCACGTGCCGTGCCAGGATGACGAGAACACCATCTTCAAGGTGACCCCCGGAGCGGAGGAGGATGGGCTGTGGGGGTTCAAGCTGCCTGGTCACGAAACATGTGCGGGTAGCGTGGAAGGAAGGTGCTAAGCAGGGGCGGGATTCAAATCATTTAACAACCGGTTCTCTGCCCTAAAGACCGGGTGGGTGGGCGTGGCCACGGTGGGCGTGGCCAGGGGGTGTGACAGGCAGCATTCGGCCTCCTGCACCCCTCTGGGAGCAAAATGGGCCGCCGGGGGGTGCCATACCCCTTCGCGCCCCATTTTGGGCCTAGTAGGCCTCCCTGCAGCCTCCTGGGAGCCAAAATGGGGCACATGGGTACTCCTGGAAGGGGAGGGGAGGGGCGGAGCCAGCCAGCAATTTAAAAACCGCTTCGCCCAAACCGGCTGAATCCCATCCAAGTGAACTACCTTGGTCATCCTTTGTGAAGAAGGGAGACCAGAATCAACGTTTTCATTAGAATTTTAGACTGGCCAATAAAAGCAACAAAAATACCACTCGAGTCGCAACCAGGATTGAGCCCAAGGTTTATGTTGCTAAGTGAAACACTTGTTAAGTGAGTGTGTCCCATTTTACGACTTTCCTTGCCGCAGTTGTTAAGTGAATCATTGCATTCGTTACGTAAGTAACGTGGTCGTTAAGCGAGGGTCTATATCATAAAAAGAAAAATAATTATCGCGGCAAGCAAATTTCAAAAATAAGTCACTTTTTACAGGCGGTCCTCCCCTTACGACCGCAGTCGAACCCAACATTTTTATTGCTAAGAAGAAAGAGGTTAAGTGAGTTTTGCCCCATTTTACAACCTTTCTGGCCACTGTTGTTAAGTGAATCACTGTGGTTGTTCAGTTACTAACACAGTCGTTAAGTGAATCTGCCTTCCTCCATTGACATTGCGGGTCAGAAGTTCGCAAAAATGGATCACATAACCCCGGGACACTGTAACCGTCATAAATATGAGTCAGTTGCCAAGTGTCCAAATTTTGATCATGTAACCGTGAGGATGCTGCAACGGTCGTAAGTGTGAAACATGTGGTCCTAAATCATGTTTTTCAGTGCTGTTGTAAATAAAGCAAGTGGTTGTAACTCAATACTACCTATACTTCTTACAAGCCTGTACCTGTACTACTTACTAACAAATGGTTGTAAGTTGTACTCAGGGTCTCCTGCTTGAGCAGGGGGTTGGACTAGATGACCTATAAGGTCCCTTCCAACTCTGTTAATCTGCCATTTTATTGTAAATTGAGAACTCCCTAATTCAAAAGAGAAACAAAATCACCCCAGGAGAGCAAACAAACAGTGGGAACTAGAGGGAGTTCGGACTTCCTGCTGGCTTCCCCAGTGACTTTGCTTTGGGGAAGCCGGCGGGAAGCATCAGAAATCTCACGCTCTTTTCTTTCTCGCACGGACAGGCCTGGGCCAAAGAAACGGGCAAATACAACGAGGGCGTGGACGAGCCGGATCCGGCCAAATGGAAGGCCAACCTGCGTTGCGCCCTCAACAAAAGCCGGGAGTTCAGCCTCATCTACGACGGGACCAAAGACACGCCGATGCAGCCCTACAAGATTTACGAGGTCTGCGACGCACCCCTGCCCAATGGAGGTACCGGCTGCTTTTGCAATGTCATTGCTTTGCCCCCCCGCCCAAGCGGTGAAGTCACGTGGTGACCCATGGATTTTACGTTACCCCACCACAAGAGGTCCCCTCCACCCACGCACCCAAGAGGTGGCAGAGATACTTGCATGGAAGTTCTACACGTACCCCCCTGTCTCTTTTTCTCTTCTTCCTTTCCTTTCCTTTCCTTTCCTTTCCTTCTTTCCTTTCCCTTCCTTTCCCTCCCTCCTCCCTTATTTCCTTTCCTTCTTTCCTTTCCTTTCCTTTCCTTTCCTTCTTTCCTTTCCTTTCCTTTTCCTTTTCTTTTCCTTTCCTTCTTTCCTTTCCCTTCCCTTTCCCTCCCCTCCTCCTTATTTCCTTTTCTTCTTTCCTTTCCTTTCCTTTCCTTCTTTCCTTTCCTTTCCTTTCCTTTTCCTTTCCTTCTTTCCTTTCCCTCCCTTTCCTCCCCTCCTCCCCTTATTTCCTTTCCTTCTTTCCTTTCCTTTCTTTCCTTCTTTCCTTTCCTTTCCTTTTCCTTTCCTTTCCTTTCCTTCTTTCCTTTCCCTTCCCTTTCCCTCCCTCCTCCCTTATTTCCTTTCCTTCTTTCCTTTCCTTTCTTTCCTTTTCCTTTTCTTTTCCTTCTTTCCCTCCCCTCCTCCCCTTATTTCCTTTCCTTCTTTCCTTTCCTTTCCTTCTTTCCTTTCCTTTTCCTTTTCTTTTCCTTTCCTTCTTTCCCTTCCCTTCCCTCTCTTTCCCTCCCCTCCTTCCCTTATTTCCTTTCCTTTCTTTTCCTTTCCTTTCCTTTCCTTCCTTTTCCTTTTCCTTTCCATCTTTCCCTTCCCCTCCTCCCCTCCTCCTTTCTCTTCCTTCCAACTTTCCAGTCTTTTTTCTTTCCTTCCTCCCTCCCTCCCCCTCCCACTCTTCCTTTTCTCCTTCCTTCCTTCCTTCCTCCTCCTTTCTCAATCTTCCTTCCTCCTTCCCAGCCCTTTTCATTCCTTCCTTCTTTCCTTCCTTCCTTTCTTCCCCCTCCCCACCCCCCTCTCCCTCATTATTGTCTGCTCAGACAGGTTGGGCAGGTTCGGGAAGAGCTATGAAACCTGTCAATCCTGATGGGTTGAGGGCATTTTCCTTCTTCTCCCTTTCCACTCCTTTTAAAAAAAAGGAGTTGTGGGGGTTGTGGGAAGGCGCTGTCTGTTATCCTTACTGGCTGCTCCTGCATCCCCTCCCAGCGTTTCACAAATGAAAACAGGCAAAAATCCCACCCTGGGATTCCCTCCCCATCAGGGGTGGGATTGAAAAATTTTAGCAACCGGCTCTCTGCCCGGTTGCTGAGTGGGCGTGGCCATGGGGGCGTGGCCTAGTCAGCTTCCTGCACCATGCTGGGGGGGGGCATTTTTGCCCTCCCCAGGCTCCAGAGGCTTTCCTTGAGCCTCCAGGAGGGCAAAAACAGCCTCCCCGGGCTCCGGAGGCCACGCTAGGAAGGGACTCTATGGTAGGGGGAACCAGACTTCCGGTCGGCTCCAGAATTGAATGGGGGTGGGTGGGCTTCCGGTTAGGACCTTTGTGGCTCTTTGAGTGTTTAAGGTTGCCGACCCCTAGTATAGTTTATTAGAGATCAAGTGTACTGCAGTATTGCAAAGCCGGAACTGAGAATCGCGCGCTCAAATTCCCAACTTCTACATTTCCCTCCCTTAACTTTCTCTCATTGTCCACCCCGGTGTAACCAATCAGGATCAGGCAAGATTTTTCCATAACGGTCAGTCCAAGCTTGCAGTCTGGTGTGCGGCCCCCTTCTTCTCCCAGCTAGGCGACCTTGAGGTAGCATCTCGAGGAGATGGCAGCACTTACTTTCCTTTCCCCAAGCATTTCCCCCTTCCTTCCCCCTCCCAGAATCTGTCACTGCATAGCAGGCAAGCATAAGGGAGCAGCGGAGAGGGAGACCAATGCGGGGAAGCCCCCAGTCCTTGTCCTTAATGTTTGGGGGGAACCCCTTGGCTCAAGAGACAACAACACACCTGCAACCCTTGCAACAATTTAAGGCTCTGCAACCATCTGTTTTTCACCTTTAGAGACCTTTGGTGGAGAAGAGCCTGTGGGATGTGAAGAAGAGGAGGAGGTGAGATTTGGGGGGGTCTTCCTAGCTTTTTGGGGCGCAGATCTAGGGGGTGGTGGGTTTTTTGTGGGGTTTTTTTGCCCTCCCTGTAGAAAATAGCACAAGAATTGAGGCTTGTGGGTCATGGGGCCTTCTGTGCTGGGCGAGGCTGATGTCACGAGAGACATAAATCCCCTGTTATATTTCTGCATCTCGATTCTGCTGCATTTAGCACACGGCAAACCACAGAATTCAGTTTTCCACACAGCTGCAGCTGAGACCACCTTCAAGCCAGCAGGTTTCCAGTTCACTTCTGTTGCTGGGGCTAAACTCCACGGGCCCTGGGTTTAGCTCTTTTCTTTAGCGTTATATTTTTACAGACCTCCCACCCCCCGAGAGTCTCTCTGTGGGGGAGACAAGCGGTTCCAAAATGAGAGAGAGAGAGGAGAGAGAGAGAGAGAAATATGATAGACTGGAGAGATAGAATAAATATAGAGATGATGATGATGATATACAGAGATAGATAGATGATAGATAGATAGATAGATAGATAGATAGATAGATAGATAGAAGGACAGACATAGATGAGGGAGGGAGGGAGGGAATGGGGGGAGAGAGAGAGAGAGAGAGAGAGAGAGAGAGAGAGAAAGAAAGAAAGAAAGAAAGAAAGAAAGAAAGAAAGAAAGAAAGAAAGAAAGAAAGAGCCAGAGAGAGACACACACAGAGAAAGAGAGACATGGAGGAAGAGACAGAGACAGAGACAGAGAGACAGAGAGAGAAAGAGAGAGATATGATAGGTTGGATAGATAGAATAAATATAGAGATGATGATATACAGAGATGGATGGATGGATAGATAGGTAAATAGAGATACATGATAGACAGACAGGCAGACAGACAGACATAGATGATGGGGGGAGGAAGGGAGTGGGGGAGAGAGAGAGAGAGAGAGAGAATGAGAGAGAGAATGACAATGAGAGATAATAGAATTGACTGACCAGCTAGCTGCCTAACTCACTAATTTTTTTCCCCCCTTTGATTGCAGCTCCAGAAAATGATGCCCACTTTAAGGATTGCAGGTGGGTTCTTGGCAGCACCCAGAAGAAGGTGGGGGGGGGCAAGCCTGGAGGGATGGGCAGGGAAGAATTGCTTCAGATCTTTCCTGCTTAGCAGGGACTCCCAACTGCTTTCTAAAGAAGACTCAGTTTCGTGTCGCGATTAAGATACTGGCTTAGAAATCAGGTGACGGTGAGTTCTAGTCCCACCTTAAGCACCAAAGACAACTGGGTGACTTTGGCTCAATTCGCCAGGGAACAGTGAGTTCTAGTCCCGTCTTAGCATGAAAGCCGACTGGGTGACTTTAGGCTAATCACCAGGAGACTGGGAGTTCTAGTCCTGCCTTACATGTAAAAACCAGTTAGGTGATTTTAGCCAGTCTCCCTCTCTCTCAGCCGGACCCACATTACAGGGTTGTGGGGAAAACAGGAGGAGGAAAGAGACTTGTGTTATGTTGAGTTCGTTGTACAGTAACAAGAAACCGCACAGAGAAGGGAGCTGCCTTTGGACCCCCTCCAAGCATGGAAACAACATCGTTGCAATCCTTCCACTTTGATGAAGTTTCTTGGTCGCTCCTGTTGGAATTCAATGTTGGAATGTATTTCTGTGCAACAACTACAGTAGTAGTCAGCCAATAGAGAGTGGTGTTTAGAAAGTTGGATCTATGTTATATATAAATATATAACATATATGTTATATATAACATAGTTATGTTCTTTTGCTCTTTTGTTCTAAGTAGAGTTTCCTGTTTCCTATTACAGTTAGAGTTGAGCAGTAAAGCACATGGTGATTGTACTCTTTTTGTTCTGTGGTGCTATGTATATCTGAACGGAATTTCGAACGGCTTCTCTCGTTCCAGATCCATCGCACGTCGCAGAGCCCCTTCCCCCCTACCCGTGGCTCAAGCAAGAGACCCTCTACACTAACTCATGTGCCAATGGGAACTTCTCCCACTTGGCTCCCCCAGAGGTGGGGCCTGGACCCCCAGCACCAACCCCCGTGGGGGCCTTCGCGGTAGGAGGGGAGCCTCCGGTGCCCAACTTTGGCGAATCTGCAAGCCGGATGCCGCTGGTGCCCGAGAGCATGGCCATGCCAGGAACCTTGGCGCCTCTCCCCGAGGGGGGCTGTCCTGCAGCCCCCATCGAGCAGTTCATCCCGAATTTATTGATCAGCCCCCACATGCTGCCACGTAAGCCTCTCTCTCTCTCTCTCTCTCTTTTATGGGGGTGCACCGTGGGAATGGGGAGATGAGAGGGAAAGTGGGGTCTCCTCCTGGCTCGGTTCACACGACCCATTTCAGCTAAAGTTCTAGCAGTCGCATTTGCACAGAACGCCTATGTTGGCTAGCATGACAGGTGGTCCTTGACTTACAACCGTTCGTTTAGTGAACTGTTTGTGAAGTTACAACAGCCCTGAAAAGAAGTGACATGACCGTTTTTCACACTTACGACCGTTGCAACATTCCCACGCTCACGTGAGCAAAATTCACACACTCGGCAACTCACATTTATGACGGTCGCAGCGTCCGGGGGGGGGGGGTCACGTCCTTTTGCATCCTTCTGACAAAGCAAAGTCAAGGGGGAAGCAGGATTCACTTAACAACCGTTTTGCTAACTTAACAATGGCAGTGATTCACTTAACGACTGCCTCAAGAAAGGTCGTAAAATGGGGCGGCAAAACTGATGTAAAGTGTCTCACTTAACAACAGAAACTTGGGGCTCCGTTGTGGTCATACGTCGAGGACTACCTGTAATAAAAACATTGAAAACTGACCCGCAGAAAAAGATCCGGTGCTCCATCGAGTCTTTGATTTTAGTTTTTAATTAATTCATTTGCTTCTTAATTTTTAATTATTATTTTAATTTTGGTCAGACGATGGGCATGTGTTTATCCCGTGTAGGTTTAAACTCTGAGTTACTCAGTTACTATTAACCTTGGTTCCATTTTGGGTGGCTTAACGTGTCCTATGAATTAACTAACCGTGGTTAGTGGCTGGTTTAATGTCCTATGCAGACCCAAGAAATGGGTAATTCAGGAAATGGGGGGTCAGCAGGTTGTGTGAACCTACCTTCAATCACAATGAGAAGTACCTCTACACTCTTGGTAGAGTTCTGTTTGCACCGTGGTGGCGGCCATCTTGCCTTTTTCGACCTTTCCCTGCAGACTCCTCCCCCCACCCAAAAGGCTTTGAGTTTTGGGGTCACCCCTCCCCGATTGCCCATCGGCGACCCTCCCACCCAATGCCCTGGTTCACCCTTGCCTTTTGTGTCATCTCCTCCTCCTCTTCCTCCTTCAGTGACCGACCTGGAGATCAAATTCCAGTACCGCGGACGTCCGGTGGGAGCCCTGACCATCAGTAACCCCCATGGCTGCCGCCTCTTCCACAGCCACCTGGAGCCCACCCACGAACAGGTGGAGCTCTTCGGGCCGGTGACGTTGGAGCAGGTGCGTTTCCCCAGCGCCGAGGCAGTCCCCAACGAGAAGCAGCGTTACTACACCCACCAGCTACTGGACGTCCTGGACCGGGGTCTCATCCTGGAACTGCAAGGCCAGGACATTTACGCCATCCGGTTGTGCCAATGTAAAGTCTTCTGGACCGGCCCGTGTGCCGGAGAGCTGGCCGGACCCAATCCCATTGAACGCGAGAAGAAGGTCAAGCTTTTTAGCCTGGAGAGTTTCCTCAACGGTGAGATGGGGCCTTCAGCAGGTGTCCTGGGAAGAGGAGGATGGGCTTTGTAGTTTCACCCTCGCCGGAGAGGGCGGGGAGAGAGACTAGTATGCATAGTAGAGCATCGTAGAAGGGTGGTGGATGGATGTTCTCCTGGAGGCCAACCGGATGGAGGAAATGTTGGCTTGTCTCGAGAGGTTTTCAAGAGTTGTAGACAGGACTGTGTCTGGTTAAAGCATTTGAACCTTGGCGACTGTTAAGACAGGTGGACTTTAACTCCCAGAATCCCCCAGGCAACATGGATGGCTGAGGAATTCTGGGAGTTGAAGTCCACAAGTCTTTAATGAAGTTGTTAAGTTTGGAAAGCTGTGATTCAGAGTGGCGTCTCTCAACCTTGGGAACTTGTAAGATGGGTGGACTTCAACTCCCAGAATCCCCCCTGCCAGTGTGTTTTAAGATGGGTGGACTTCAATTCCCAGAATTCCCCAGCCAGCAGGCTTTACGATGGGTGGACTTCAACTCCCAGAATCCCCCCTGCCAGTGTGTTTTAAGATGGGTGGACTTCAATTCCCAGAATTCCCCAGCCAGCTTGCTTTAAGATGGGTGGACTTCAACTCCCAGAATTCCCTCTGCCAGTGTGTTTTAAGACACTGGACTTCAACTCCCAGAATTCCCCAGCTGACAAACTTTAAGATGGGTGGACTTCAATTCCCAGAATTCCCCAGCCAGCATGGATGGCTGAGGAATTCTGGGAGTTGAAGTCCACAGGTCTTCAAGTTGCCAAATTTAGAGATTTGGATGAGCCCTCCAATTCCTCCCCCCACCCACCCCTGTGCCAAAATCCAATTTTAATCAACATTTGAATACAGTCAGCAAAGAACAGCCGTTCTCAATTATGGATTCATATGTTTCCCAGTCAAAATTTCCCATTTAGGAAATTGTTTTTTTTTTCCCTTTCTGAATTTGCCTTCTTTTTTTTCCCCCTGGCTTCTGCTGCCTTGTGGCTAATGTGAAAAGTTGATTTTCCTTTCTGGCTGGGGAACTTTTTTTTTTTAAATTATAATTTTATTTATTTATAATTTTTTTATTCTAATTTTATTTTTCCCTTCCTGCAGGACTCATCATGTTCCAGAAAGGCCAGTCCCGCACGCCTCCCCCCTACGAGATTTTCTTCTGTTTTGGGGAAGAGTGGCCCGACCAGAAACCGAAAGAGAAAAAACTAATCACGGTCCAGGTAGGTTCATTTTAGGACACCGGCGTTAGGTAAAAATCAAACGTCTGATGGCACTTTTGACGCTTATTACTACAGGTAGTCCTCGACTTACGACCACGATGGAGCCAAAAATGTCTGTCGCTAAGCAAAACATCTGTTAAGCGCATTTCGCGGCTCGTTTTATGACCTCTCTTGCCACCGTTAAGTGAATCACTGCAGTTCTTACGTTAGGGACGTCATTAAGTGAAGCTGGCTTCCCCCATTGACTTTGCTGGTCAAAAGGTCGCAAAAGGAGGATCACGTGACCCCCCCCCTCCCGGGGACATTGCAACCGTCATAAATATGAGTCGGTTGCCAAGCGAGTCCGAATTTTGATCCCCCGACCATGGGGGAATGCCATAACGGTCGTAAATGTGAAAAAGAGTCTTAAACAAAGTCGCTTTTTTCAGTGCCGCTGTAACTTTGAACGGTCGCTAAATGAACCGGGGACTTCCGGTAAATAGACTTTAGCAAATGGCGAACTGAGCAGGTCTAAAAAGGCCCCAGCAGACTCGAATCCAGGTGTGTCACTTGCACACAGTTGCGTAGCCAGTTCACACAATCCTAGAGGGGCTGATCTCCCCTTGGTGCATCGGAAAGGGCCACTTAACGCAATGCTTTTTGGACTCGGCTCCTTTAAAGTGTTTGCACTTCGACTCCCAGAATCCTCCAGGTTTAGAAATGCCAGCTGGGGTGGAATTCTGGGATTTGCAGTCCTTCCCTCACTGACAATGGCTGTTTTAAACCAAGGGTCTCCAACTGGGCAATTTTAAGCTTGGTGGACTTCGATTCCCAGAATCCTCCAGGTTTAGAAAGCTGGGGTGGGATTCTGGGATTTGCAGTCCTTCCCTCACTGACAACGGCTGTTTTAAACCAGGGGTCTCCAAGCTGGGCAATTTTAAGCTTGGTGGACTTCAACTCCCAGAATCCTCCAGGTTTAGAAATGCCAGCTGGGGTGGGATTCTGGGATTTGTAGTCCTTCCCTCACTGACAACGGCTGTTTTAAATCAGGGGTCTCCAACTTGGGCAATTTTAAGCTTGGCGGACTTCGATTCCCAGAATCCTCCAGGTTTAGAAAGCTGGGGTGGAATTCTGGGATTTGCAGTCCTTCCCTCACTGACAACTCCCAGAATTTGGGAGTTGAAGTCCGTCAAGCTTAAAATTGCCCAGCTTGGAGACCCCCGTTCTAAACCCCTGTTCTCTTCCCTTTTCATGCAGGTTGTCCCCGTAGCTGCTCGGCTTCTTTTAGAAATGTTTTCCGGAGAACTGTCCTGGTCAGCGGACAGCGTCCGCCTGCAGATTTCGCATCCGGATCTCAAAGACAAAATGGTTTCGCAATTCAAAGAACTGCACCACCTTTGGCAAATTCAGCAAAACATGCACGAGGGGGACCCCAGCAGCTGGGAAATGCAGACCGGCGGAAACGGCATGCAGCAGTGAGATGCCAAGAGACCCCGTCCCCCACCCCCAAAGACTACCACCCCCCCATCCGGTGACATTTGGATGGCACCATCCTCCTGGGCATGCAAACTCCGGCAAGAGCTGTCCCAAATCGGGCTGGCCTCGCCCTGCCCCACTGAGCCATTCCTGAGGAGGAGTTGGGGGAGTCTCCTGGCGCACCCCAGCTCCGCTTGCAAGCCCCCCACAAGCTTCCGATGACCTCTGGAGCATGTTTTATAAGAAGCACCTGGGCACCCCAGAGGTCATTTAGAGGAGGTCGGGCTGGCCAGCTTCTCCTGCTTGCAAGATAAAGAGAGATATGCATGAAATGTAAAACTTGAACTCTGAACCGAAGCGGGGCTCGATTCGGAAGAAACGCGCGCTACGCTTCTCGCCAGGATGGAGGCCTTAAAAAAAAAAATGGATTGAAATTTGGGACCGTTGTAGGTTTGGGCCAGTGGTGAAATCCAATTTTTTTTACTACCGGTTCTGTGGGCGTGGCTTGGTGGACATGGCTTGGCTTGGTGGGTGTGGCAGGGGAAGGATACTGCAAAATCTCCATTCCCACCCCACTCCAGGGGAAGGATACTGCAAAATCCCCATTCCCTCCCCACTCCTGGGGGAAGGATACTGCAAAATCTCCATTCCCACTCCACTCCAGGGGAAGGATACTGCAAAATCCCCATTCCCTCCCCACTCCTGGGGGAAGGATATTGCAAAATCTCCATTCCTACCCCACTCTGGGGCCAGCCAGAGATGGTTTTTGCCGGTTCTCTGAAGTACTCAAAATTTCCGCTACCAGTTCTCCCGAACCTGCCAGAACCTCCTGGATTTCACCTCTGGTTTGGGCCCTGGAGAAGGAAAATCTTGCAGCTGATATAAGAACCCCCCTCTCTTCTTCTTCTTCGGAGCCCCTCCACCATCCCTCCATCGCATTGAGGAGAAAACACAGAAGCCTCCGGGACGTCAATGTCTTAAATTTTAAACGGAATATCGTGCAGGATGGAGAAATTGGCACGGGGACGTGGCAAGGTGGTGGCACCCAGCTTTGAAACTCGAGAGAACTGTGATTTAAAAATTGCCCGGATTCAGGAACGTTCTAAATCCCCCCCTTTTTTTCCCCTCAAAACAATGGCTGCGTTCTTTAAGCTCCATCTTAAAAGGTGGATTCCATAAAATCTGGGACCCCCGGAGGTCTTCTAGTCCAACCCCCTGCTCGAGCAGGAGACCTCACACCCTTCTTGTCTTCGAGGCTTGTCCTTTTGACCCACCCAGGTTTTTGAACCCGGTTCCGGTTTAAGAGCAAAGGTTATGATGGTTTGAATACAGGTAAACCACAGCTGAGCCTGACATTTCTGTTGCTAAGGGAGTTTTGCCTCATTTTGCGACCTGCCTTTCTTTCCCGTTATTCAATGGATCGCTGTGGCCGTTCATTTAGTAGCACGGATGTAAAGTGAATCTGTTTTCCCCCCCCTTGTCTTTGCTGGTCCGAAGGTCGCAAAAAGGGAAACTGCAACCGTCATAACTTCGAGCCGTTTGCCAAGCAAATCTGAATTTTGATCACGTGACCTGGGGGGGGTAATGCAGCTAATGGTTGCGGGTGTGAAAAACGGGTCACGTCGCTTTTCTCAGCGTTGTAACTTTGAACGGTCACTAAACGAATGATTGTTAAGTCAAGGGCTACCTGTAATCTTTTCGGTGGGTTATTGTAAGAGAAGCAAGGTAAATCTAACAGCCCTTTTTTTATGACACGAGGGATTTTAGGTTGTTTTATTCTTTGTGTCACAACGAATCCCCTTGGGCCCTTAAGCCGGTGTTTCCCAAAACTTGGAAAATCCCCCTCCCCAAATGCAATAAAAGTGGCTTCATCTGAGCCCCACCCCCTTTTCTCTGCCCCCCAAATCCTCCTTCGATTGGGAAGGAAGGAAGGAAAGGGAAATAGACTCCCAAGTCCCCAAGAAATTCAGTTACGCTTAATAATTTGAATTAAAAAGCTTGATTCCCAAAGATCGGACGTGTGAGTGCGTTGCAGGCCGATTCCTTCGGTTGTGGGATCCAGGGGTTGGCGCCAGTGTGTGAAGCGGCCCAGGGATCTCAGATTTTGGGCTGCCGATTCGTTTGGAGAAACCAGGAGAGTTTTGTGAATTGCAGGTAATCCTCAGCTGGAGGGGGTGGACTAGAAGACCTCCAAACGCCCTTCCAACTCTGCTATTCTGTTTCCAGCCTGGGGTAAGAGCCACGTTGATGGATGTTGAATGGCTCTTGTTTCTTCTTCATTATTTCTGTCTTCGCTTCCTTGAAGCACCCCAAGGATATATACATACATACACACACAGATACATACATACATACATATATGGCTCTTTGGTTATTCGGGTTTTCTCCCGCGTAAAATTGGAAGTGTCTTGATGACGTTTCGACGAAGTCTCGTCATCTTCAAGCTGGTGTTTTCGGCTTCGTGCTTCTAGGAGCAATGTGAGATCGCAGCTGTTTCTTCCTTTTAATTGCTAGTGGGGTGTGAACTGATTGGGTGGGAGCTTGGCTGTGTTCTGATTGGGTGGAGATATATATATATTGTGGGTGGGGGCAGATGGAACAAAGCCAGCCCTATTTGTCACTGTGCCAGTTGTGTTTTCCCACATCTGCAGAGATTCCACCTGCGGGTTCTATCGGATGAGCAAGCCGATAAAAAGAGTTTTCCAAAATAAACGAAGGGAGCTAACATTTTGGAGTTGGTTTGTGTGCTCGTCTTTTATTTCGCAAGGAATGGCATTTCCCATCTCACTTAAGGTTTTCTGCTTAAAATGACTATTTTGATAGGAGGTTTGTAGCTCAGGCAGGGTTGAAAGGTGGGGTCCTTGGTGTCCTCCGAGCTTTTGGGGAGGGGGGGTTTCCTTGCAGATGTTTTCTGACACTACTAGGGAACATCATCAGTGCTAGAGAGGAAGAGGAAGGAGGGAAAGCGGTAGAGGAGGGAGAAGCAGAAGAGGAAGAAACAAGAGGAGGAGGGGGAGAGGGAGAAGAGGAAGAAATGAGGGGAAGAGGAAGAGGAGGGAGAGGCAGAAGAGGAAGAAATGAGGGGAAGAGGGAGAAACGAGAAGAAACAAGGGGAAGAGGAAATGAGGGGAAGAGGAAGGAGAGGCAGAAGAGGAGGAAGAAATGAGGGGAGAAGAGGAAAAGGGAGAAGCAGAAGAGGAAGAAATGAGGAGGTGGGGAAGAGGGAGAACAGAAGAAAAGAAATGAGGGGAAGAGGAAGAAGCAGAAGAGGAGGCGGAGAGGACGATGACGATGGTAGAGTCTTTGGTGTCCTTTGAGCTTGGCTTTCTTGCAGACATTTCATGACCCAACTAGGTTACATCATCAGTGCTGGAAGGGGAGTGTGTAGAGCGGAGGAGAAAGAGAAGGGGAAGAGAAATAGGAGGAAGAAGGAAGGAAGGGGATAAAGAAGGAAGGAAGGAGACATGAGAGAAAGAGAACAACTGTGGGCTCCTTGGTGCTCTCTGAGCTTGGTAGTTTTCTTGCAGACCTTTCATGACCCAACTAGGGAACATCATCAGTGCTAGGAGTGAGGTGTGCTGTTTCTACCCAAGGGGCTTTCAGTGGACGTGGGACTGTTCTTGGTGACTCCTTGTGCAGACTCTTCTTTACTGCATCTTTCTTCCTGAACTACCAACTCAAGACAGGCCAGGCTCCAGCATACAAACCGAGAGCAAACCCCACTCCCTTCTAGCACCGATGACGTTCCCTAGCTGGGTTGCGAAACGCTCCAGTGGAGCCAGAAACACAGAACTTTCCAATTCCTGGCGCAACTAAGCTTCCACTGTTTCCCCCTACCCCGACGGCTCACCGCGAGCCGTCGCTCGACGCAGCAGCTGCGGAATAATAAAGCAAGAGACCGGATTCCGAAGGAACGAACGGAGGTAAAACCGATCGCAGGAAAAACCCGGCGGGAGAAAAGTTCGACCCTCGCCTTACCTTTTCGCACCTGGGAGGCCCGATCCGTAACAGCATTCACACAGCGAGTTTCAAGAAGGGACTGGACTGTCCTCTGTCGGAAATGGTTACGGGTCTCCTGCTTGACCCTCCCAACTCTGTTATTCTGAATCTTCGGCGAGTGCATGACAAAAAGGCTCCGGAGACGACTAGCGTTCAACTGTTTTTGTCTGTTTTTTTTTTATTTCTTTTTGTGGGGGGGGAGAGGATCTTCCCCCCACTCCGGTTCTCGAGAGGGCTGCCATCTTCACCCACCCTTTCCCACCAGACGAAACGGGACCCCTCCCCTATCCCTGCCTTCGCGGTTCGAATCCCGGTGCCGGATCGTTGTTTTTTTTTCACAAAATAATTCTGCCTGCCCCCAAAACCACTCCGGAAGCCCCCCCACCCCCCCCCCCCGTCCAGCCGGTAAAAAAAAAAAAAAAAATTCCTAAACCGATTGAAACCAAATTCTCAGAAAAAAAGAAAAAAAAGAAAAAAGAAAAAAAAAAACCAAATCAGCTTAAAAGAAAAGAAATATATATATATATATGCATATATATAAAATATATATTATAACAGTTTCATCGGAAGAAGCCAGCACGTTGATGGGCCACGGAAAGGCAGACGGGATCTTCCCGTCTTTTGCTCCGGATGGAAAAGGGAAGAAGGACCGCAGCTCCGGCCCACCCACCCAAAACTGGGGGGAGGGTCTTGACCGCAGCTCCCGGCTTCTAGCGATCTTTCCGATAGGATATGTGGGTTTTTGAGGGGGGAGTGGGTGGGTGGGTGGGCTCCTCATAGCCCAGGCTGATGGAACTTGCCCCGAACGAACCAAAGACTCGGTTCTCGACGCCAACCCTACAAGGTAGGCCGACTCCCGGTAGCGCGTGGATTGAGTTTTAAAGCCCTCCCCCCTCACCCCACGGATCTTTTAAAGGAAATTTATTTCTCATTTCACAGAAATTATTTCTCCCCCACCCTCCCTCCTCCTCCTCTTTTTTTTTCCTCTTTTTTTTTAAACAAATCTTGCTGCCAAGCAAATCAGCTGTGGATGGTTTCGTGTTTGGGTGGATTTTTTTAAAAACTTTTTTTATTATTACTGTTATCGTTATTTTCCTCTTTTTTTTTTCCGTTTTGTTTTCTTTCTCTCTCTCTTTTTTTTTCTTTTGTTTTTTCTTTTGTTTTCCAAAGCCAGTCCATCCGGAAAGCTGTTCTTCCCCTTTCCCCCCTCAACGGCAGCCCCTCGACAGTCGCAGGTTAAATGGCGCTCGGATTTCCTCTCTTTTTTTTTTTAATTATTTTTTTTTTAACCCCCTGGTGGTTGGTTTTTGTGGTTTTTTTTGTGTGTGTTTTGTTTTGTTTTGTTTTTTCTGCCTTTCTCTTTTCTCACTCACAAGCAGGAACTTCACCGACTGGTTCTTGCAGCAAAACGTCTCTTCTGGATTGGCGGGACACACCGGAGCGAGTCGGAGCCTTCGGCCGCAGTGAAGTTTGCTGGTTGTGGTTTCACCGTCTTGGCTGTTTTATTTCCTCTTCTGAAAATAAGACATTCCTGGGAAAGGAAGAGGAGGGCAAAAATCTCACGGGAAGACTCACGGAAGGGTTGAGGGGGGGGGTTTACGTTCCCCGACAGAGTTGCGAAGCGTCCAGGAGTGGTTAGGGTTCTTGGAGCTCTCTGAGTTTGAGGGTTTCCTTGTGGGACGTTTCATGACCCAACTAGGGAACATCATCAGTGCTAGTGAGTGTAGGGTTTGCTCTGTCTATATTGGTGGGAGGGTTTCTTGGTGTTTACCTGATTAGGGTCCTTGGGGAACTGCCAACTCAGAGAAACAACCAGACAGACAATAAGCAACAGGCTAAACAAGGAACCACCAAGGAGAAAACAAGACTGCCACCAAGACTGACAGGACAACCCTTTGTATGTAAACAGAAAGCAATCCCCACTCATCTTTAGCACTGATGATGTTACCCAGCTGGGTCATGAAACGTCTGCAAGAAAACCCACCAAGCTCAGAGACCAGCAAGCACAATTCTCCTCCTCTTCCTCCTCCCTTCTCTTTCTCCCCCGAAACTAGCAGGCTCAGCGAGCACCAAGGACCCCACCGTGGACTTCCAACTCCCAGAATTCTCTAGCCTGCCTGCCTGCCTGCCCCAGTTGGGAATTCTGGGAGTTGAAGTCCACCCACCCCAAATTTGGGAGACACCGATTTAACTAAAGAGCAGCTTCTCCGAGCAGCACCGTATTTTTCGGAGTATAAGACGCACCTTCGTTTTTTGGGGAGGAAAATAAGAAAAAAGCTGATTGGCAGGTGGATCGGCCTCCTGGAATACCCCCAATCAGCTGTTCCCAGAGGTGAATTTTAGCAACAGGTTCCTTGGTTGTGAGTTCTGTGCCTTGCTTTTTTTTTCTGCCTCTGAAACTTCTGAAACTCTGTTTCAGAAAAAACTTTTTTTTCTGCCTCTGAAAGCCTCCGAACAGAGTTTCAGAATAAAAGCCTCTGAAGCTCTGTTTGGGGTTTTTTTCTGAAGCTCTGTTTGGAGGCTTTTTTTCTGAAGCTCTATTTGGGGGCTTTTTTTTCTGAAGCTCTGTTTGGGGGCTTTTTTTCTGAAGCTCTGTTTGGGGGCTTTTTTTTCTGAAGCTCTGTTTGGGGGCTTTTTTTCTGAAGCTCTATTTGGGGGCTTTTTTTCTGAAGCTCTGTTTGGAGGCTTTTTTTCTGAATCTGTTTGGAGGCTTTTTTCTGAAGCTCTGTTTGGGGCTTTTTTTTCTGAAGCTCTGTTTGGAGGCTTTTTTTCTGAAGCTCTGTTGGGGGCTTTTTTCTGAAGCTCTGTTGGGGGCTTTTTTTTCTGAAGCTCTGTTTGGGGGCTTTTTTTCTGAAGCTCTGTTGGGGGCTTTTTTTCTGAAGCTCTGTTTGGGGGCTTTTTTTCTGAAGCTCTATTTGGGGGCTTTTTTTCTGAAGCTCTGTTTGGAGGCTTTTTTTCTGAATCTGTTTGGAGGCTTTTTTTCTGAAGCTCTGTTTGGGGGCTTTTTTTTCTGAAGCTCTGTTTGGAGGCTTTTTTTCTGAAGCTCTGTTTGGAGGCATCTTTTTCTGAAGCTCTGTTTGGGGGCTTTTTTTCTGAAGCTCTGTTGGGGGCTTTTTTTCTGAAGCTCTGTTTGGGGGCTTTTTTTTCTGAAGCTCTGTTTGGGGGCTTTTTTTTCTGAAGCTCTGTTTGGAGGCTTTTTTTCTGAATCTGTTTGGAGGCTTTTTTTCTGAAGCTCTGTTTGGGGGCTTTTTTTTCTGAAGCTCTGTTTGGAGGCTTTTTTTCTGAAGCTCTGTTTGGAGGCATCTTTTTCTGAAGCTCTGTTTGGGGGCTTTTTTTTCTGAAGCTCTGTTTGGGGGCTTTTTTTTCTGAAGCTCTGTTTGGAGGCTTTTTTTCTGAAGCTCTGTTTGGAGGCATCTTTTTCTGAAGCTCTGTTTGGGGGCTTTTTTTTCTGAAGCTCTGTTTGGAGGCTTTTTTTCTGAAGCTCTGTTTGGGAGCTTTTTTTTCTGAAGCTCTGTTTGGAGGCTTTTTTTCTGAAGCTCTGTTTGGAGGCTTTTTTTCTGAAGCTCTGTTTGGAGGCATCTTTTTCTGAAGCTCTGTTTGGGGTTTTTTTTTTTCTGAAGCTCTGTTTGGGGGCTTTTTTTCTGAAGCTCTGTTTGGGGGCTTTTTTTCTGAAGCTCTGTTTGGGGGCTTTTTTTCTGAAGCTCTGTTTGGAGGCTTTTTTTCTGAAGCTCTGTT